TTTGTTCAACACAAAAGTATAACCGAATGCTAGTGACTTTGATTCTACGATATTACGCTTACGTACGATCTCAATACGTTTTCATCGCTAAGTCATTTTCTATTTCGAACGCATATTCTGAAACATTTACTTGCGTTACTTGCTCTTTTAACAAACCTGTGTCGTTCATTAAGCGCGTTTCGTAAAACTCAAGAATTTGAACAAATCTCAGCTTGATATTCTCTTGCTTTAAAAGACTCTTTCGGAGATTAAAAGTCTGTCGCGTTAAAGGAAACTATCGTCGTACTTATACTATGACACCGATTTCAAATTAATAACAAAATCAACAATGCGGAACATAGGAAAAAGTGATTCCAAAATTCTAGATGATAATGTAACGAGTGAGTACAAGCCTAGTCGATGTCAGGGTAATCCAGGGGATTTGATCGTCCGGTAGAAAAGGGGATTTCATTGCCGTCCGAATAGAACTTGACACGGGCATACACTTTCGGATAAACGCGTGTTCGCTCGTCTCCCATCATCTCAAATTGCAATCAATAGATAGGCGACGAGACGGCGCCGAAACGTGTCTTTATCCAACATGGTCAGAATACAAATAGAGGGTGTCCTAAAAGTCATGAGACAGGATCGCGCAAACTCCCACGTCCTGTTGTTCGAACCGATGTCACTTTCGCTACCATACAATGCTAACGCGGATGTGTTTGCTCAACCACTCGAATGTTTGACTTTCCTACACGCGGGTTGTTTCATGTTTTAAATTGATTCGAACCGAGATATTCGGTGATGAAGCTTCGTGATAACGTCGATCAGATTTTTATTTGACAATTTCTGCTTGATAAATTGAGCGAAATTTGTAACGGATATTTTGAACAAACATTTTTCAAACGATAATTACAGGGATATTGGCATTTATGAAAGTTTTAAGAGACCTCTCGTTCTTTGTATTTCGATATCGAGAAACGATATTATTTAAATAACGAGAGATCGGTCTTTAATTTCCTCAATTTATAAGATCCAGTGTTTGAGGAATAAAGATCCATGTATTTAGATATCTGTATTTTGGTATAGAGAAAAGATATATCTAAATAAGAAAATAGCATTTTTCAAGCTTTAAATTTACGATATGAAGTTTACGATAAAGACCGATTTTTGTGGTCAAATCGAACGCAGAAATATAATTGAAATAATAAGTTCTTCCGTATTTTTAGATACTAACATTCGACGACCGTGAATTTGTCACGTTTTGAAATTTATAAATATACAAAAATCGCAGGAAGAAGATATGATGAGCACGCTTTTGTCAATTTTTTTTTTACTCAATATCGCCTTATGAACAAAAAGAGGTATTTTAATATATCTTGCAGATTGAAGAGTAAAGAAATTTTTTGTCTAGAATAAGTAATATTAAATCGAACCTAGCCAGACACTAAATCTGTACAGTACTGCTATCGACACTTTGACTAAAGATTTCTGATTGATTCCGCCTCGCTGAGGCGGCTCTAAAGAAACTGTTCTCAATTCCTCGAGACGTTATATCCAGCTGAATCTCTTTGTAAGAAATTTTACAGCATTTTCTCACTCTCTAACTATCTTCGGAAAACATCCCATACTATACAAAGGGATATAATTTGTACTCTTAAAAAATTAGAAACCATCCACCGTCTAACGCATAATGCATCGATAATACCTCGTCTTTTTATGATAATAGCCTTCTCACGGTATTAAAACTCTTTGCTCGTTCGAACGGTAAACATAAAATGTTTAATAAAATCTCCTTGCAAGTACCTACACATACAAATTTCGTTGCTTTGCGTTATAGATAGTCATCAATCTTTTAATTAATAAACTCACGATATTTTCTCATAAAAATATCGTCGTAAAGGCTATGGCTTTAAATAAATCGTTTAGAAATCATTATTCGTTAATTTCGTCACTTTTTTTCCAAAGATAGTGATCGATCTACTATTTCATAGACACGTGTCTCTATACAGATATTATCAGAGGCGTTATGATTTTAGGCAAATGTCGTGAAACATTTCCATGAAGCATCGATCGATGTAATTTGAATGAAAGGTTCTCTTATTCGCAAGAGGAAATTCGTTTTTTTCTTTTTTTTTTATATCGTACGGACAGCTTTGTAATAGCCAACGATGTTTCAAAGTATTCGCATTTTCCACCGTGAAATTAACATTAACTGATATAATTCCAGTGTCGCTGTGGAAAACTTATTGTCGGCCTTTATGAATTCATTTTGCGACGACGCGGATTCTCAGGCGGATAACAAAATGCGAGCGACGCGACGTAATATCTCGGCGGCTTTTAAATTTGTGTGAACGGCGCGAGAACACCAGCCGTAATTTTCGTCGTCGTAACGACCGGTAGGCTCTCTGTATTTCTCGCCTCTTTAATTACTTCGATAAACAGTTGTCCCCTCGTGTGAAACGCGATCGAATAGGGTAACAGAGAGAAAGAGGAGGCAGAGGAGGATTAATGAGAGTAGGAGGTGATTTAAATACCCTCCACCGGGTTTCTTTTGTACTGTCGTGGAGGAATGTTTTGTTAAAAAAAGGATAGGGGAGTATCAAAGAATATTTCCACGGCTTCGCGATACGATAGACGAACTTTGTTAACGACATGTTTAATTAGAGGCGCATTTATTCAGAAAATTACAATGTCGGGCGCATAAGTAGAAAATGGAAGGATAAATTCGAAAATTCAATTAATCGTACGATGCAAAGTTTTATTTCTGCTTGTTCTTGGGAAAAATATTTCCACGCCCTCGCGATACGATAGACGAACTTTGTTAACGACATGTTTAATTAGAGGCGCATTTATTCAGAAAATTACAATGTCGGGCGCATAAGTAGAAAATGGAAGGATAAATTCGAAAATTCAATTAATCGTACGATGCAAAGTTTTATTTCTGCTTGTTCTTGGGAAAAATATATTTAGGATATATGTATTAGTTATATGCTACGTTAGGAAATACAGATATGTTAACAAATATTACATCATATTATATTTAAGAGATAGCGAAAAGGACAATTTGCTAAAGTATATACTACGTAATCGAGACTACTACAAAAGCAAACATTTTCCTACCAGCAATTTCGATCAATTTCACCCTACGAGAGAACATTGCCAACCCTATCTAACTTTCACGTTGCAAACTTTCTTCGATTCTTTGCTGCCCTAAGCCATTAAATACCAATGTGGTATTAATGGAATTTTTTATTTGCAACTTCTATCTATTTAATTCGCGTTGTTCAATTCCGTTGTAAAAACCATTGTAATCACGGAAGAAACTTTTAAAGACTCGTTTAATATCTTTTCTCGTTATTTCCTCATTTACCAGAATCTAACAATTTTATGAAATTATAAATTGAAGCACTTATAGTACTACGATAAATTATTTCAATTATAATACTTACGCCGCCATAACAAACCAAATTTTTCAAATCAAGGATATTCTTCATTTTTGAATCTCTCACTGATACAATGGCCTTCTTGATAGAACACCAAATTACTGTATTAGATTGTCCGAAAAGTTTCTTTCGTTTTATAAGGTGATAATAGATGAACAACAATTTCTGTTTTATATTATTATATTATTTATATTATTTTCGTGCATAATTCAATAAACTAATATAAAACAAAAAGCATTGTGCGTTCCACAATTTTTACGTATTATATCACTGCCTGGCTCTTCTTAATAGGCTAAATCTCCTTGTAGCCAATCACTATACGCGTAACAACGTACATCGATCACGTATCGATCTTCTAACATAAAGACATTACACGTTACATACAATGGTCAATCCTGCGCTGGCCATCGGAAGGAATTCTATTTGATTTCAATCCTCCTTTTGCCTGATCAAATGCAAACAAAAAGAAATAAATCGTACCTTCCTATATATATGTAGTATCGTGGACGAAAGGCCTAAGAGATATCGGGCGAACCATAAACAATGTCGCGAGAGCCGAGGCACCGTCGGGCCCATCAAAGTGTCGTCGGTCTTTTCAAGTGCATAGTTCGTAGAAAAGACCTACGTGACCCTGGCCACGAGCGTCTGCAGAACACGTGAGAACACGTGTGCGGCGGGCCTGGTAAAAGACAATGGAATGCTACAACAGCCAGAGTGACAATCGAGAAGCAGCGTGCGAGTCGAGAAGCAGCATGCGAGCGGAGAGGCAGAGCTTGCGAGTGGCGTTACCGAGAGAGTGTCGATTGCGTTTTGTGAGAGTCGAGTCGTATTCTAATCATCTAGTTGTGCTGCTTTCTGTACATTTGGCGTGAATAGTTCAGGTTGAACAACGATCGTCTTTCCTATCTTCCATTCCTTTGTAAACACACACATTATATCACGATATTACATATATATTCCAATAATCCTTCCGTGCCAAAGCTACCTATCCAAATTTCAAACTCTGCTAACAAACAAAATGAATGAAAAATATTTTCAATGCTCGGGGTCGTGGTGGAGGCGAAGCACCTGGCCTCGGTCCTTCCAAGCCCGGGAATAAATGAAAAATATTTTCAACCCTCCACGTCATCGTGGATGCAAAGCATCTCGCCACGATCGTCGTCCTGGCTAGGTAGGATGGGAGGTGAATGGGCACGAAGACAAAGGCGGGCCACTCGAGGACGCAGGAACGCGGAAGCGGGCGCAGCCGCGGGTAAGTTGAGCGCGATGAGCGCCGACGCCGGCGAGGGCGACGCCGTGGACGCTGTGGCGACGCGGGGATGTCAGTAGAGATGCCGCGTCCGCGAGCAACGCGTATCGACGACGGTGTCAGTTAGCCCGACGGGGTAGCATCGGGGTGGTTCCAGGCGAAAGTACGGCGAGGGGCGCGTCAGGACGCGGCTG